CTTCCCAAGTCCTCCTCCCCCTGCTGTCCTGTTCCCCTTATCATCCCACTCTGAGGTACAAGCCACACAGTGTGTCTATGTGCACAGCTAACAGCACAGGATACCACCAGGCTGGGTATGAATTAAGTGATGGGAGCCTCATGAGACAGGCTTACAGAGAACTGACTCCTGAGAAGACTGCTGTCAATGCTACTTTTGGGGTGTCACTTGCCTTGACTTCCCACTAGGATTACTTCCATTCCCTTTCATCCAAGATGACTTGTTTTGTTTTTCCAGACAGGGTTTCTCTGTGTAGCCCTGGCTGTCCTAGAGTTCTGAGCAGGCTGGCCTCAGCCTCACAGAGATCACCTGCCTCTGCCTCTCAAGCGCTGGGATTAAAGGAGTGCACTCTCACCAAATTGACTTTAAAAAAAAAAAAAAAAAAAAAAGAACACCAAGATCCAGAAAGCTAACAAGGGTGATAGACTGCAAAACAGCAGGGGTAGGATTTGAACCTAGGTGTCTCACTTGACACCACTGCCAAGCCAAATCCTTTGGTCCTCCCTGTGAATTTCCTGCGGGCTTTCCATTTGTCTCTCCCAATACCCTGTCCAGGGCCAACGGGCCATACTTGGAAGTCCATCTGCACTGATCTGAGGAGGGCCCCTTCGAAGGCCTACCTGTGTGCAATGCAAAGGTGACCTCGCTATCATCCGGACCCTCCATGCTGCCGACCACCCCTTCCTGGGGTTCCAGGACCCAGCCCTCGTCATTGCCCTCTTCCTCTTCTTCCTCTTCCTCAAAGTCCACGTCTTCCATCTCCTGGGCCAGATCATCTGCTTTGGGAAAAGCGTTAAAAGGTGGATCTCGGAAGACAGGAAAGGAATGGGGTGAGGGGTGAATAGAGCGACGCCAGAGTGGGTCATGTGGCCAGAGGTTAGGGTGTCGTCCCACACGTACCGAGGAGAAGGAGAGCGCTTGGGGGGGCTGAGAAGGGGAGAGAAGCTGGGTCTGAAGACCTGGCGTTGGCCAGAGACCGTGTGGGAAGAGAGGACAGAGGGCATGACGGGAAGGGGGTGTGTGAGGGGAAGGGCCAGGGGAGGCGTCAGGGAACCCCCACCCAGCCAGGCCGCGAAACTAAGTGTGGGGGGTAGGGAAGGAGGGCTGGGAGAGAAACGTCGGTAGGAACGGCCGGTAGGGGAGGGGGCGGGGGGAGGGGGGAGAGCCAGGGGTCAGAGGCCAGGGGTGAGCGCCTCCTGCCCCATGGCCTCAGGAGCGCCAGTTCTCACCCGGGTCGGGCGGGCCTGGATCCAGCTCTACCACCTCAATGATCTCTTCATCTCCGTGGAAGCTTAGAGTCTCCAGCGGCGGGGTGTCAGCTGCCGCTCCGCTCTCGGATTCGGACTCCATGCGGCGAAACCTACGGATCCACTTCTCTGGGCCCAAACGCCTCCCAGAGTCAGCTCTGCGCGACGACGCGGAACCCGAGCCCCTCCTCCCGGGAGGAAGTAGGCGTAGGCGACTCCCGACCGAAAGAGCGACGGAATCCGGACCAATAGCGACGGAGGTGGACCGACAGAGCCGCCAATCACAAGGCACAGCTGGGATGACCAGGCCGGGGCGTGGCGGGAGAACCCAAGCTCCGCCTGACATGACTCCGCCCCCAGCTGGAGGGAAACAAGCGAGCGTGCGCGCCTCCGGGGTCTCCTGGGAGGAGTAGTTCTCCCGGGCCCGCTACGCGGACTTCTGGGAAATGTAGTTTCTGATCTGTAGGCAGGACGGAAGGCGCGGGGGAGGCCCCTTACGCAAACTACAATTCCCGGCGGGGAGCGCAGTGAAGGGGGGTGGGACCTGAACATGGCGGCGGTGGTAGCTGCTACGGCGCTGAAGGGCCGGGGAGCAAGAAATGCCCGCGTCCTCCGGGGTAAGGAGAGGGACCCCCGGGAGGGCAGGGCTCTATAAGATCCCATTCCCTTCACATCCCACCCAGCACGACAGCAGAAAGTCAGACTGCTAATTGCTGCCCATACCTCTCTGCAGGATCTTAGAGAGTCTGGGGGTGAAAGATGCTCTAAAGGTCACTCAGTCTAGCCCCTGCGTTCAGGTTACACTGCTTGTCTAGGGTCTTGCTGATAGAGGGAGTCCCAAAGAAGCCTTAGTTTCCCGCGTTCCAGGGCTTTCATACTCACCGCAGTGCAGAAGAGCGAGCCCTGGGCTTCTGGAGGCTTGAGTTCTAGCACCGGGTAATTAGCGGTTTGACCTTGTGAGGAGCAGCTCGTCTCTCGGGGCTTCAGTTTCCTCTTCTATAATACGAGGGGATGGAGTTAGCTACCCTTAGGAATAGCTAAAGTCCTGTAGTTTTAAAACAGTTCCCGGGATTTTCTTCATATGCATGTCATCGGTAAGTCCCTCTGCAGTCCTTCCCTACCGGTCTTCTGTATAGAAAGAACAGCGGCGAAGCTGGCTGTCCTGGCACGAGGGTGAGGATCCCGCAGTGACGTGGAAGTAGCTTCCAAAGGTGTCACCTCGATGGCGATTTTCCCATTTCTCTTTGGATTCTTCACAGCACTTGTTACTCCAACTGCAGTCACTCCCCTCCCTCAAAACTCAGCCGCTCCTCCCCTCCCTCACACTGACCTACCCCTTCTTTTATTCCCAGGGATTCTCTCTGGAGCCACAGCTAACAAGGCTTCCCAGAACAGGACCAGAGCACTGCAGAGCCATAGCTCACCGGAGTGCAAGGAGGAGCCCGAGCCCCTCTCTCCTGAGCTGGAATACATTCCCAGAAAGAGGGGCAAGAACCCCATGAAAGCTGTGGGTCTAGCCTGGTGAGTTTTAACTGCCTCTTTGCCTACCAGTGGGTGATGCCCTGAAGGGATGTCAGGACTTAGAAACTTAAGTTGCAGATGGTGAGCTGAGTCAAGGGAAGGGAACCGTTCGGTTCGAGGGATAGAATCTCAGTGAGATGGGGGTGGGGCAGTGGAGGGGACATTGAGGGGACCGGTTTTACTGTAGAACAACTTGAGCTTATCTGGTTTGGATTTGGCTCGCTGGCTTCATCCTTCCTTCTGGGAGCTGGGATAAGGATCCCAGTCTCAGTAATTACTTACAATTGTGTTGAAATGTGTTGTTTAGAAGCTAGAAATGGTTCTGTGGGTTTATTTGCTTCTGATTCTGGCTTTAATATATATTATTGATCGACATAAGGAAAGGGAAAGCAACATTTTTTTCCAGCAAGGGCCTGAGGCGTGACAGCACTTTGCCATATAACATTTCAAGCTTCTGGAGGTAAACATTGCACTTCCGTCTCACCAAGGAGGGAACTGGGGCTCCCAACTGGGATTCGCACCAGGTCATGACTTCATGCTCTTGGGCCCCTACCAAGACCGCCTTTGAGTAGTAGTTGCTCAGATTAAGACAGCTGCTGGTTGATATACTTTAGTGGTTAAGCGCACGCTTAACATCCTTGAAACCCCAAGTTCAACCCGCAACACCAAAAAGAAAAAAGAGGGGTCTGGGAGGGGATGTGAGGCAGTTTAGGCAGAGGGGACCCTTGCTAACTCACAGAGGGCTATCACTGTCACACATGAGCATTCAGCAGGAAAACAGCCCCTGAATATCACCCATAACAAGAGGAATGAAGAGGTAGGCAGGCCCACACTGGCCCTTTAGTGTCTGCCATGCCTAGAGTTTGGAGTTGACCAGGATATACTAGAAAGCTGTTACAGTGTCTTAGCAGGCAGCAGCGGGATCAGATTTGTAGGGTCCCTCCAGCAGCCGACACAAAGGGCAGGTAGACACAGAGGTATCACAACAGCATTTGTACATTTGGCAAAGCTGGGCTGATTCTTCCAGCTCCTCTGGCTCAGTCCCAGTCCCTGCCCAAACCCCGTGCACATCTCCCCATCCCTAGGGCCATCGGCTTCCCCTGTGGTATCCTCTTCTTCGTCCTCACCAAGCAGGAAGTGGACAAGGACCGTTTGAAGCAGATGAAGGCTCGGCAGAACATGCGGGTGTCCAACACGGGCGAGTATGAGAGCCAGAGGTTCAGGCCTTCCTCCCAGCAAGCCCAGGTCCCTGAAGTTGGGTCTGGGGTACAGAACTGAGTGAGGATCACTGCAACCTTGCATTAGACTGTTGACTGGAGTCCTGTGTGGCTAGTTGTGGTCATTTCCCCTGCGACCCACCAGAGGGCGCATGATGCTCAAGCTGCTGCAAGTACCCACCTTTTCCGCACAGAGGAACCAGCCAAAGGCAAATAAAGTTATTAAGAACTGGCATGGAAAGGAAGCAGGGCTGAATTTGTAAGCCCCAGGGAGGGAAGGGGCAGAGTGGGGCTGGCTGCTCATCCCTGTTTCCTCACAGAAGACCTGTGTTCCCAGCTGGGTGGTAAAGTAACCACAGACTTATGTGCAACATGCCTAAGAACAGGCCCTGGAGACCCAAGTCTTAGAGCCACTGGTCAGGAAGGCAGGTTCCCATGTAGCCTTAAACCAGTTAAAATCAGTTAGGCATGGACATCTTTAATCTCAGCACTCAGGAAGCAGAGGCAGGTGGATCTCTGTGTTTGAGACCAGGGTTCCAATACAGCAAGAGGAACATAATAAGAGCCCTTGTCTCAAAAAAAAAAAAAAAATCAAAAGCAGCATTCAGGACATGGATGAGGAAAAAAAGCATCCAAATATGTCAGCCTCTCTGGGCCTCATTTCCCTCATTTGTGAGAGAAACTAGTTTCCAAGAGAATTCTAAACCCATGGTCTATCCCCTTTCCTGCCTGAAAAAAAAGTTATATAAAGACACAGCTTCATGGGAAAGTTAAAGTGAGCAGTGTTACCACAGGGTTCTTCCTTCCCCACCAACTTTTGACATTGTAGTAGCCTGTCTTGTCCATCACCAAGAATTGCTCCAAAGAAATTTGCTTGGTCCCGTAGAACAGGCTGGAGACTCAGCCTGGGATGCAAAGGAGGTGGACCAAAGCCACCACCACATTACAGTTAAGAACGCCACAGCTACTCAGGGTCTCAATGCCAACATAAAACTTTATTACATTTCTAGTTGTGTCCCTTTGTGATATATTCCGAATCAAGTGCTGGACAGAATAGCTCTAATTCTGTCTTTGGGCTAAGAAGGCTTCCCACCCCACCTGATAAACTGGCTTCTGCCTCCACCCTGGTACCACCTGGAGGCGCTTGGATTATACAGAAAGCAGTAGCTAGCTTGGAGAGGGGGTTCTCGTCTAAAACCTCCCAGCAGTTCAGAGCAGACTGAACTTGTGTTAGAAGGGAAGATCACTAGGTACCAGAGTGGCTTCTTGGCCAGAGAGGGGACCCAAGGCACTTACTTCCCCTGTCCCCACCCATGTCTTCCCTAGACTCCTTCCCAGCCACACTCAGGCTCCTACAGACCACCGCACTGGCTGACCTCCATCTCACACCTCCCGAGTGGCTAAGCAGAGGAAGTAGGGGCCTCTTTGGAAGCCTCGGAAGGCCCTCAGCACTTTGGGCCTGGTTGGTAGGCAAGATGGGTACCAGCCAAGTGGATGCCATTCGTAACCCACCACACTGAATGAACTTTGCTCACTGTCTTCCCCCTAACCCAGATAAATAATCTATACATGTTACTGGAGGATGGGGTTGGAACAGGGAGACCGCAGGGCACAGATCTCCTAGCTTCCAGAGCTACGAGATGCCAAGCCCAAGAGTTCTGACAGGGTAAGTGGCCGTGAGTGCTGGAGTGGGGGGGCAAGGTATCTGGCTTTATTGGATCCAGGAGGGGAACAGCTCCAGCTCCCTAGCCTAGAACCCTACGGCCGAGGCAGGACGGGAGCCTCTTCACCTTGAAGCTCCTGTGTTCACAGGCTCCCCACTCCCCCACCACATGCATACTAAAAGTTTTGTGCATGCTCACTGTGGGTAAAGAGGAAGAGATACAACTTCAGTCTAGTCTTTACCAAGCCCACCAAGGGCAAGAGTTGTAACTTCAGCACCCTTGGTTCTCACATAATACAGCCAGAGGCCCTCCCCCCCCCCCCCCAGGACAGAGAGGAAACTGGGCAGTTTACTTGAGGGGAGAGGGAACTAGGGACCAGCCCAATAGGAAAGGATGAGTCCCAGGCCAGAGAAGGGAGTAGCTCTCAGTCTCGACTCCCCACCAGCTGTAGCACAAAGGTGAAGATGTAGACTATATCAGTGTAGATCTGCAGGGCACCTGTGATGTAGTCCTCCGGGCTGATGGTGTGCCTCCGGTTCCCCAGGACCAGCTGTGTATCGTAAGCCAGGAACTGCAGGGAAATCGGATGTGAGCGTCCAGAGTTCATCTCTGGTCAGCAGAGTGTCCTGAGACCTGTGCTGTCTCTCCTGATTGCTAATGGAATCACTAAGGAGTGGTGTGGAACATGGTCTCTGCCTTTGAGCAGTTCGCTTCTCTGTCAAAGAAGGCTGACACCCTGTTGTCACCCAGCAGGGCGTGTGAACAAAAGACATCAGGGGCCAGACGGTGGCACACCTCTAGTCCCAGCACTCGGGAGGCAGAGGCAGGTGGATCTCTGTGAGTTCGAGACCAGCCTGGTCTACAAGAGCGAGTTCTAGGACAGCCTCCAAAGCCACAGAGAAACCCTGTCTCGAAAAACAAACCAACAAAAAGACAACAGGGATGCCAGAAACTTCTAGAATCTCCAAATAGAAAAGAGAACAGTTATCCATGGCCCCTCCCCACCTCCCAAGCTCCCTAAATTCCATCTCTACCCTCTCAGCTTCCCCTCCCAGAACAGGGACCAAACTTACCAGGGTGAAGCAGATGGCCCCCAGAGCAGCATAGAGCATGTGGAGCCAGTAAATCTATGAAATAGCATAGTACAGCATTAGGAAGCCAAGCAAAGCATGACGGAAGCAGACCCTCAAGACCCAGCTGACCCTGGGACTCCAGCAGCAGAGCAGGGAGGTCAAGGGAGCTACCTCTCCAGGGTCCCCTACCCTGCTTCTAGATCCTGGGAGAAACTAAGAATGTGACTTATTTGCCAGAGAGCAGAAACTGCCACAACATCTATATAAAACCAGTCACAGTACCTTTCAGCCAAACTGAAAGCTAGTCAAAGTATAGGAGTGTCTGTTGTAGGTCCTGAAAACAAGGCAACTGAGCAGAGCGAACTCAGGAGGGGCAGGCCCAGTGAAGCTACTAACTGGCTCCTACAACCCACCTTAGGGACAGCTTAGAGAGGCCCTTCCACAACCTTGAGTTGCCTGCCATCCTGCTCCACACTGCTGCCAGGTGCCTGTGCACAGGCCAGGACCAGCCAGGGTGGGGTAGGCAGCACCTCTCGTCCTGATCCTTCCCCTTCAGCCCTGGGCTCTCCCCTTGGCTGACTGGAAGCAGAGAAGGCATCAGAGCCCCTCACATCCAGACCTGACTTGGTCCTTTAGCTTTGCCTCACAGAAGCTGTTCTCAGATAACCTACCATTTCCTGTAGGAATTCAGTGGTGATACCCAGGGCCCAAGGGTTATGCCTTACCATCTGCCAAAAGGCTTACTCTGACCCAAAGGGATGGTGTTGTGCTGGTGCTGGCACTAGCTAACGGGAGGGTGTGGGAGCCAGAGCCCGCCCCTGCTCTACAGGAAGTCTGCAGCAGGACACTCACATAGTTGAATGCTAGCACAATGCCAGTAACAATCCCAGTCACCATCAGCACAATTCCCATGACACAGAAGAGGCCTGTACATGAGGTGAAGTCCACCTGGAAGAAAGGGAGAAGGAAATATGCTCAGAGGACTGCCATCCTCAGCATCCCAGAGGACTGACCCTGCAGCCCAGTGCCGCTCCTAGGGGCATGGCAGTGACAGTGACAATGACACGCTAAGGACACATACACGAGAAACAGACATTAGGCTAAGGAAATCCCTGGTCTACAAGGTTCTAGGCCCTCCCAGGCCTGCCGGAGCACCAAACCCAAAGGTGTTTATGTATAAAAGGACCAGGTGGCCAGGGAAGGCCCTTCCCCATCCTCACCTTAGTCTGAAAGCAGAAGATGGTGACAGAAATGGATACCACAGCAGTGATGATCATTGCTATGATGACGGCTTTGGTTTGGTACATACTGGGGAGAAGGAAGAGTTGACATGGGACAAAGTCATAAGCCATGAGTGTAGAGTCCCTACGTCCAGGATTGTGCCCAGAGTCCGTCCAACCCTTCCCAACACTCCCTTCCCAAGAGTATGGAGGAATGTCCCTGAGCATACCTGGAAATGGTGCCTGTCATAAAGCCCAAGGCCAGAGTCTGAAGGAAGGAGAGAAATAAGGCCAACAGTTAAGAGTGTCAGGCTCTGAGGTCCAGTCCCAACACTGGTCACCACGGCCCTGCCAGAGCTGGGGACAGATGAACTGTACTGAAAAGAATGCCACGAAGGAAAACAAGAACAGGGCCAGGTAGGGTGAAGAGACAGCCAGGGAGTCTTCCCCCAGGTGTCCCCAACTCTTCTCGGGAGACGCTTCCCATTCCCCTTGTAGACTTACAAAGAGAGTCAACAGGATGATATTCCATGGAAACCGGCGTCTGAAGGGGGAGAGAGAGAGAGACCCTGGTTAACCTGCCTTGGGCCCATCAATCTCAGCAGTTCCTTCAGCAGTTCCTTCAGCAGAAGGAAGTTCCCGAAGAATAAGCCTTTTCCTCAGGGAGGGTACTCAAGTGTTTACACAAGGATAACCTGGGATAGACCTGTCTATGGAGCCAGCAAATCCTGGACTTGTTAGAGCGCTCGTGTGGCCTGTGTGAACCTTGAGTTCCTCCTGTAGAGATTCGTGATTTTCCCATTTAGGTTTTTAATTTTCTATTACTTGTGTATGTATACATGCACCCCAGGACAGCTCGTGGGAATCATCTCTCTCCTTCCAGCATGCGGGTCTTAGCCTCAAACTTTGATCATTATGCATTGTGGAAAGTACCTTTACCTAGTGAGCCGTTCTGCTGCCTCCCCTTTTGTTTGTTAAATGCTCGAAATGCTGTTTATTTTATATGTGTGATTCTTACATCGCTTGTAAGGATGATCGACAGCTACTTTGTGACCACTGACCACCTCTTCTCACACGTACCCCTCGTTGAGTCTCTTACCACTGTATGAACCCTTTGCCTCTCAAAATCCTTTGTTCCTATCCCGCTTTCTGCTTTCTGCTCTCCTCTTGTCTGGGTCCCCAGCACTCACCTGGGTCCCTGGCAGCAGGCAAGGATTAGGTAGGTGATGATGAAGACAGCACTGAGAGAAGAGATAGGACATAGTTATGGACCAAACCTCCCTGGGCCTGCCTCTAGCGCACCAAGGGCACCACTCAGCAGCCAAGGCTTCTTGACAAGCTATTTCTTTGTAGGAAGCAAGGGGGGCTGGAGAGATGGCTCAGAGGTTAGGAGCACTGGCTGCTCCACTAGAGGTCCTGAGTTCAATTCCCAGTAACCACATGGTGGCTCACAACTATCTATAATAAGATCTGGTGCCCCCTTCTGTGTATATGAACACTATACATAATAAATAAATCTTAAAAAAAAAAAGTTGGTGGTGCACACCTTTAATCCCAGCACTCAGGAGGCAGAGGCAGGTGGATTTCTGTGAGTTCGAGGCCAGCCTGGTCTACAGAGCGAGTTCCAGGACAGCCTCCAAAACAATACAGAGAAACCCTGTCTCAAACAAACAAACAAACAAAAAAAGATTCTCAGTCAGGGCACCGAGAAGCCTGGGACAAGGTTTGGACCAAAAGGATGTGATCATAGACATTGGGTAAGAGAGTCTGGGCAGTACCATGAACTCTACATGTCACCACCACACCCTGTCTCTCTGGTCCTGTTGTAGCATTCTGTGATGTTACTCCCCCTCAGGTGCCCCCCAGCCCCTGCTGCCTGGATACTGGCACCGACTCCTGGAGGGCCTCTCTCCTAGGGCATATTAACCCCTGCCCTGAACAAAAGCTGGTCAGCTGCCCCCATCCCCATCTCCCATCCCAGCAGCAACACCATGCACTCACTAGGACACGTAGTACACAGCCACATTCCTCCTCACGAACTCACTGACTGGTGTCCTATGAAACAGAGGTTCCAAGAGAGGAGTCAGATGATGCTTTGTCTGCCTCCAGCTGAGAGCCACCCCTTCATGGGCAGCCCAGCAGGTAACCCAAGCTGGGAAAAGGAGAGACTCACACAAAGGTGAAGATAGCAATGATGGCCACCGTGATGAGCAGCTGGACGGAAATGATAGAGTAGACCTGGAACAGACAGCCAGCGATGTAGCTCAAATCTCATACTAGCCTCCCCTCCCCACCCACCAACTCCACCCCCGTCTTGGTAGTGGTACAAGGGGTCTCTTTTTAGTTTGGAAGGCTTTGGCTGGGGAGAGGACTCAGTGGTTAAGAGTATATATTGCTCATACTCTTGCCTGAGTTCAGTTCCCAGCAACCACATCAGGCAGTTCACAACTACCTGTAACTCTAGGTCTAGAGGATCTGATGCCCTCTTCTGGACTCCTTAGATACTGCATTCACATGCACATACCCATATATACACCACACACACACACACCTTAATTAAAAATAAAATCAGCTTTAAAAAGATAAAGAATGACTGTAATTTGGAAGACTCTACTTTTTGAGCCCTCAAAGATTCTTCCCTGACTGCAGATTGGCGTAGAAGTGACTCCACTGCCCCCTCCAGCTGTCTGTCTTGTCCCCCTTCCTCCCGTCCAGCACCCAGCTTATATTCAGTGTATTGCCCTGTGGTCCTGCCTGCCTGCTCCTGTACTAAGAGCGAGCAGTTCTCTATGACAAGGGTTGAGAGAAGGGATGTGTGGTGACTTAGATACAGCGTGTTCATTTCAGCTCCCTGCTGCTTGCTGTCTAACAGAACAGGGGGAGGGGAAGTGCAGAATCCAAGTAACCTTACCAGGGTGACTCCATCATCCCAAAACAAAGTCAAGGCAAAGGGGATCGTAAAGAGGGGGATTCCCTCTGAGGAGGGTACAGAACTACAAGGAGGTAGGCAACTAAGGCATTTATGTGGGAATGTGTACCTGTGCCTAAGCCTCCCCCAAGTCCCAGCCCATAACTCACCTTTCGGATGAAGGTATGTCGGACTTTCCTGTCATCCCATTCTCCAGGACCAAAGTTGTCACTTACAGCTCTCTCCTCTCCACTATAGTCATGGCCTGGGAACAGATAGATTACATCAAACAACTGGGGACCTAGGACAGGTAGCCTCCATCTCAAAGCACTCCTGACCCTGTCTCAGACAAAGGCTCAGGAACCGCTGTACAGAAGACACATTTGTAACTCACAGACTCTTATCACACTCGAGTTGTCTAGGCACCCTCAGAGTGACCCCAACTGGGCTTAGGTGAGAAAGAGCTGTCAGCAGGCATCGGCTGCAGGCTCTGTGCCCAGCCCCCATCAACTGGGGGCAGGATAGTGGCAACACCATCTAGGGAAGCAGGTGGCATCTAGGGAGTAGAACCGGCTGGCAGAGCAGTAGCCTTGGGGGTCGGGGGCAGAGAAAAGGAGGGGGGAAGCACAGACAGTGGGCACAGGAGGACAAGGTCTGTGGTCTACAGTAGGCTTCACAATGCACATCAGCTGTCACCTGTAAGGGACATCTTAAGGTTGGCCTCAGATATCACATGCCCACACAGGAGCTGGTCACACACTCACTGGCTCTGGGACACTGAGGCTACTGTAGGCCACTAACATTCCATGGATGCCTCTTTGGGAACTGCTTCCAATGTCTACCCTGAAGGAGTTGGGGTGCAGCTCATAGGCAGAGCATATGCTCAGCATATGATGACCTTGAATTCAGTTTCCCATACCAAAAAGAAATGCAAAATCCACCCCCCAGAAAGGAGGCTTACTATAGTCTAACCTCACCTTTACTGACCAACCATGACATTTTGGCTGTTGGCAAAAATCAGACTGTATATAAAGGATGGAGATGTCAGCCCTAGGATATTAAAAAAAAAAGTGCTTAGGGTTCCTAAGGAAGACATGGCACCCCCACACACTGGCAACAGCCTTGTTGAGAAACAGAAGTGGTTCCTTAGGCTACCACTTAGAAGCCATCAATTCACCCAGCTGTAAGTTCTGGCATATGTCTTACTGAATACATAGGTCAGCAAGTGGACGGAGGAAAGAGGGGAAGGGGAAGGCGGGACAGGTAGAGGAACAGACTACCGAAAGGGATGGTAGGAGGAAGGGATGAAAGGCCTCTTTGGACCCCATGTCTACCTCTTCCCAGCCACCCCCAGCCATGCTCCAAGACTCACCGTAGCTCATGGGCATTGGACGGATGGGAGGCATCGGCTGTGGGTAGCCAGCAGGGTGACTGTAACCTGGTTGGGGGTAGGCAGGGTAGGCAGGGTATCCACCTGGCAGGACAGATGGCTGCCCGTAGCCCCCAGGAGGTGGAGGACCAGGGTACAGAGGATTTCGGTCCTCATAGGGAGGTGGGGCAGTGGGATTGGACATGGCCGCTCAAGGGCTGAGGGGAAACCCCAGCTGCTGGGACCTGCAATAGGAAACAAGCAAGAGGTCATGAGTTCTGGACTGCTCGCTCCATCCTCGCTGCCTTACAGGCTGTGTCTCTAGATCAGACATGCCACTCACTGCCCACAGGCCACCACCCCACTGGGCCAGCCCCTGGCTTTATACTCTCACAGCAGCCTTTATTTGGGGCCTCCCTTTCCCTGTCCCGCTCGCTCCCTGGCCACAACAGAGTAGGAGTAGGGATTAGTCAGATACTCAACATCACAACTGCAGAACTCCCTGTCCTCCACCTGGGAACTCCCTGTTCTTCAAGGAAACCTCGCTGTGGTGGCTTCACAGTGGAACCAGGGAAGAAGCCGAATCGCCCCTGGCAGGACTTCCTGGTGAGTCACAGGGCTGGTCAGCTGGGACCCTCTAGAGGGGTCAGCCCAGCACCCATAGCAGCTGGCTGGAGCAGCAAGCTTGAGAGCCAGACACAGGGTGGAGCCAGGCTAGAGGCTGAGCAGGAAGGAGGACGAGGAAAACAAGCCTGCCACTGTGCCAGAACTGCCAGGCCCCGAAGCAGGGGCGGGGCAGGGCAGGCAGGAGACAGGACATTCGGGTTCCCACCACAGAGACGTGTGGCAGCCTGTGCCTGCTGCTCCCTTCACTGACCTCCTGGGAGTAGACATTACCCCTGAGTTTTCTTGACCCTGCAGCAGTGGCAGGGTCAAGGAAAGCTATCTGAGGAGGGAGGGCACACGATGGAGTGCCTCTGACAGGAGAGCCCTGCAGCTTGCTGGGAGCTCCAGTCAGGGAGAGGGGCACTCCAGGGGCTATGCTCACTTCAGATGAGCCTCAAGGCTTAGCAGAGTGAAGCAGCTTCCACTGTCCTAGATACCCGTCTTAGGAGCACGGCCTGAACAGAGGGAGCTTTTTGAGGTCTTGGTGTATGTCCTTTGTGTTATGCTGTACTCTGTAGGCCTCCTCTGCCAAGTTCTTCACAGCCTGTGGGGCCTCTGAGATGAGGACACAGACAAGCTAAGGAAGAGGTGTCCTGGTTTCCCTCAGAACCACCCCTTCCTGTGTATACCCCCTGCCTTTCAGGGAAGACCCTCAAATCCAGGCCAGCAGCACCCTCAGAGCTGCTGCTGGAAGGGCAAGAGTCCTGGCTCATCTTTTCAGGGCACCCAGTGCAGCCCAGAGATCAGATAGAGAGCCGGTCACATCATCTCTCAGAACAACAGGGGTTATTCACAAGGGAAAGTGGTCAGTATCGAGTGACAGGCCAGGTCTCTGAGCTGGTCACATTGAGGAAAGCTGTTCTTCATCTCCCCAGAGCAAGAATGTGTCAAGCCAGAAAGAAGAAAGCCCTTCTTGACAGTGAGGATATGAGAGGTGAGCCAGGCAGGAAAGCGTAGGAGACAGGCAGCGAGCAGGGCAGAGCACCTGGGGGAATGGGTACCAATCGTGAAGAGTGAGGTTAAGACCCAGCCATTGGAACTGGTCCGGAGAGGTCTGGGGCTATGGAAGGACAGAATAATCACAAGCAAGACAAAAGAAGCAGGGTCTTTCCTGTCCCATCCTCTGGACCAAAGGCTTCTTCCCCTAAATGCTACTCCCTCCCCTCCTAGGGTCCCCTCTGACTCCACAGAAAGGATGGCATTCCAGCTGGAAGGACAAGGACGAAGCAGGTTACCTTTGGTGTCAGTGTGCCTGTCTTTTCATTACGGCACTCATCTCAATAACCCTGGTCTATCTGAAAGCCACCATTGGGGTGTGCAGGCTGATGGCTAAACAGTCCACAGGCGCTGCCACGGCCCTGTTGTCAGAGTCCCAGCAGTGCCACCAAGCCATGATGTCACAATGACCTGGCCCTTCACAAGGCATAAGGGAAATGGGGTGACTCAGTGATCTCAGGGCTCAGTGACGGCTCTGGGAGCCTTCTATGGCCCTGGGAAAAGGACTATTCAGGGCTTGCCCTTCTTGGCTTAGCAGACAGCTGCCCCTCCCACCTCCCTGAGTGAGAGGTGGCAGTGATCTGGGGGAGGAGTGACTCACTGCTGGGATGGGGCTCCAGGGTCTAGAGTAGCTCCTGCTTACTCATGGGCCTCCCTCCAGCTCTCCCTGGCCCTGCCCTGTCATGCTTGTGGTCAAGAGGAATTTACCAGCGGACCTGCCTGGTCCTTAGCCACCTGCCCTTCTGAACCAGGGATGTTGCTCTTCAGTGTCCTCACCTGGAAAATGGGATCAAAACCAGTGACAGTGCCTCCCAAGGAACTGTAAAAATGAAAAGGAAAGCTGCATGCCCAGCCTAACCACGGATACATTCTGGCTGTTTTCAGCTGTGATTTCCCTAAAGCCTTAGAGTAGCCTAGCAGGTGAGCATTGTCATTACAAAGACACTGGGTATGATGAAGTCAAGGCCTGCCCCCAAGGCCAACTCTGCTGTCCTTCTATATGAGTTCCTTATTTGGATAGTCTTGTCTGTCCCAATCTCTCATCCATCTACCATAACTTTGGTCTCAAATCCTCCAGCAGTGAAGAGCAGGCTTACACAGAAACCTAACCATTGAGCCTCCCCACAGTAGCGCCAGTCCCAGTATCAGCACAAGGGGGGAGATTCGAAATGTCAGAATCTAGAGGACACCCACCCACTTACAACAAACTGATCCGAGGCCACGATACAATCCTGGCTGTCTGACCTTGGGTTCAGGAGAGTAACCCCTTTATTAGTACCAGCCAGGAAGTTGCCAACCTCTGCCACACTCACCAGAGTCATGGCAAGGACAACACCTGTCAGACCAGCAAGAACTTGTGGAACCCAGAACCCCTGACTTGGCTCTGTGTAGGCCCCAGTTCCTGCCTGGACTCTATGAGGATTCTACCACCAAGGCTTCTACTAGGGCTGAGGTCTGGGCTAGCATCTACCAGTGTGTAGATTCCTAGGGCAGGGGTATGCCATTCTGCTCTGAAGCTTTCTGTTCTGTTAGCCTGATTATACAGAATCAAACTGGCAGGACTGAAATGGATTTTTGAACTTTCAGCCCAGGATATATCCATCTAACAGATGTAAAAACAGAGTCTGGAAGTGGCCAGCCATTCTCTTAGCCAAGCTGAGGCATGGGGACTACAGAACAATAGGTAGGAGGAAGGGCAAGGAAAAGAGCCGAGGAGACAGCACAGATGAGGCCTGAAGCTGAAGCTATGTGGGGGTGGGGGGAGGGGGAGGGGGAGGGGAGTATCCAGCTTCTTTGTGAGCAAACACCAGCTTGTGAGCCAAGTGTCCATACTTTGTCCCATCCTGGTAATCCCATGTCTCAGCATGTACCTCTCAGGTAATACATCCCATCTCAGGAAAGTACCAGAGCCCCTTACTGACTCAGTCATGGTGGCCACAGGAGTGTGTATTGGGCTCCGACAGTTTTTTTGGTGGCCAAGGTTTTCGATGTAGAATCTGGGTATGCCATTCCCCACTGACCCTGTTTGTATCAGGGGGCTGACTTTGTACCTGGCCTGCTGAGGTCAGACTCTAGCTCTGGCTCTTCTGGGCCATATGAAATGTTAAGACTCTGGAATCTGTAGAGAAAAGGCTGAGCTACTGGGGTTACAGCAACAGGGTGTGTGTTGGAGGGAAGGACAGAAAAGAACAGCTGGCTGGTCCAGGCAGCCTGCCCTTCTGACTGCCAGGAACTCATGCCCAGACCAGAATGGAAAGAATTGCTCAGCCAGCATCTCAGGAAGCCCCACCCCTGCACGCAGGTCTCCCCAAGAAAACACCTCCCACCCCTGCGAATAGCCACGAGAACAGAGAAGTAAAGGAAGCAACCAAGAGCATCTAAGCCAGCCATCAGGATGGCTTCTGGGAAAAGGAACCCAGAGCCAACTTCATACTCTTAGGGTGGCCTGGCCTAGGGACGAAGAGGTGAAGTAGAGGGGACCAAACATTGAAGTGTCAGCTGGAACCAGGAAGCTTTAGCACGCCAGCCCATGACAGGCCCTCTTGGCCAAGAATTTGGAACTTCTGGGCCAGGTATGGGGCTTCCTGCCTTTAATTCTAGCAGAGGCAGGCTGATTTCTGTGAGTTCAAGGTCAGTCTAGTCTATATAGCAAGTTCCAGGTCAATCAGGAAATGGTAGTGAATCTCTATCTTTGGAAAAAAGTACTTTTAGGTAATTTAGAACTTGCCTTCCCAGGCTGTCCCTGCAGGAGAGCCACAGGTGCCAGAACAAGCCACCTATTCCCCAGTGCCCACATTTTTTCCTGCTCAGACTGCCCACCCCACTGCTTTCCTCCCAGGCTCCAGGCCGCTCCCCAGATCCCACCTCTAGAGTCCCTCTCTCTGGATCCACAGAAACAGAAGGCTGAGTCTTATCGAGTGTGGAAGGCCCAGTCCTGCAGCGTGTCCTTCACCCTTATCTCTGGGGACAGAACTAAGTCATGGGGTTGTAATCTCAGAGATCCCAGCTACATGACCAGTCAGAGTGGCCTGGGTACACACATAAGAAAAGAGGGCTAGGCATAGTGACTCAGATGTTTAATCCCAGTACTTAGGAGGCAGAGGCAGGCAAATCTATGTGAGTTCAATGCCAGCCTGGTCTACAGATGAGTTCCAGGACAGCCAAAGATATATGGTGAGACCCTGTCTCGAGAGGAAAAAAAAAATCAAAAAAGAGGACACCATTAACAGGGCAGCTGCCATTTCTGACACAAAGGCCCTTCCTACCCCATTTGTGCTTACCTCTCCATATCCAGGTTAGGAGGGAGATGAGCAGGAGACTGGGACTGTTAAACACACCACAGTGGAAAATCACAGAGGGTAGGGAAGGAATACAGCCACCTAAGAGTGGTAAGGTCAGCACTTACTAAGCAACCAAGCCAAATGCAACTAAGGTCCTTCTGATGCTCACAAAAGATCACTCTGCCAATAAAAATGCTAAATATGAGAGCCAGGAATGGTGGTACACACCTGTAATACCAGCACTTAGGAAGCTAAAGCAGGATTGCTTCATGTTCAAAGCCAGCCTGAGCTACACAGTGAGCACCAGATCAACTAGCAAGACCCTTTCTCAAAAGAAAATGTTGAAATTTGGAGTGTGTGTGTGTGTGTGTGTGTGTGTGTGTGGTGTTAGAATTTAAAGGCTCAAGGAAGGTAAACAGCAGAGATGATTTGAACTTGATATCTGATTTGGGCTGCTTTCATAACTGACAGGGAAACCCCTGAGGCACCCTCACCTGATGGGGGCAACACAGGGCTAAAGGCGAGGCATGAAGAGGGCAAAGCTGAGTGCACAGTGATGTGGACACCTCTTCCCATCTCTGTCCAAGTCTCCAGGGTAGGAGCAGGGACCTAACTGTCCTTATGTTGACACTGACTCCAGTCCATGAATTGGGTAGGTCACTTCCTGCTTCCAAACTCCATTTTTATATCTGTTAGATCGGTACATCCCGAGCTGAAAGATCAAAATCCGCTTCAGTCCAGCCAGTTTGATTCTGTAGAGTCGGGCTAACAGAACAGAAAGCTTCAGAGCAGAATGGCTTCTACACACTTCGTGCCTCAAGTAATGTGTAAGACATATACAGAGGCAGAGGCTCACGGCATGTTCTAGGCAAGAGGTGGCCATTAACTCAGGCTCCTAAGATGTTCCCACAAGGCCCTCACTCTTGACAGCCTGTGTGATGCTGCCCCAGGCCAGCTGTATTACACAGGGACCAACCCTAAGAAAACCCTTGTCCCTTACCCATCTCCTAAAGCCCCATGTTCCCACCAGCCTGCTCCTGAGAACAGTTGCACTAAGAAAGAGGCAGAAGGTCTAGGTGGATCAGCAGGTAAAGGCATTTGCTGCTGAGCCTGACAACCGAGTTGGAGCCCCAGAACCCTGTGGTGAAAGGAGAGGAGCATGTCCTCTGACCTCCATGTGCATGCACTCACTTTCACACACACAAGTGAATAGAACTTTTTAAAGCACCACACATGAGCAGGACATGGTGCTGTACACCTGTAACCCTAGCACTGGGTTGGCAGAAGCAGGAAGATCCCACAGGAAGAACCTGTGGGTAGTGGACCAGTTCTCAGGGAATCACCTGAGTGCTAGGATCCTCTGGAGGGGCTTCCCCACCCTTCCTTCCAGCTGCTGGACCTCCCTGGTGGAATGTTTTTCATGGCATGGAGGAAAAGGAACACCCCTAAACATCACCTGTGTCATAGACAGTGCACCAGTCATTCTACACAAGGAAGTCTAATCTTCCTCCCTAACTGATGCATTAAACCAGAGACATGTAGGCCTGTGGACTTGTGCATCTTATTTCCACTTCAAAACAATTCCCCAAATCTCAGGTCAGGCCAGGGCCGGAAGACTCTGTCAAGGTCATCTTTTCTTCAGCATTCCCAAGAGAACTGAAGGCACTCTGAAGATAATGTGTGTCCCCTCACTGTGGCTTATAGAGACAAAGTCTCACTCTGGAGCCCAGGTTGGCTCCAGATCTGCAGTCTGGCTTGCAATCCTCCTTTTGTCTTAGTCTTCTAAGCAGAATGAGGTTCTACGACCAGTGCTGTTTTGTTTTGTTTTTTTGTGAGGCAAGGTCTTCCCTTGAAGCTTAGGCCAGTCTTGAGCCCACCACTCTTGCATCAGCCTCTGGCATGAAAGGCATACACCACCACACATTCACTCTTTCTTAAGGACGCTCTCAGAGGTCTTGGGGTTAGATGTGCTGTGCTGTAGATGGCTTCTACCTGGGGTTCCCCCATTCCTAGGGAGGAGGCTGAGCCAAAGAACCTATTACCCTAGCCCATGACATGAGCTTCTATTGCTTGCCAACTAACCTGTCATTACCCCTCTGATCTGCCCAGTTTTACAAGAGCAGCCCTGAAGTCAGACAGGAAGTCAGGGCCCTTGTAGCATCCGTCTCACTTCCCTTAAAACTATGAACCGAGACCAGGTCTCGGGCCGGGCATTGGTGGCACACGCCTTTAATCCCAGCACTTGGGAGGCAGAGGCAGGCAGATCTCTGTGAGTTCCAGGCCAGCCTGGTCTACAAGAGCTAGTTCCAGGACAGCCTCCAAAGCCACAGAGAAACCCTGTCTCGAAAAAAACAAAACAAAACAAAACAAAACAAACAAACAAAAAAAGCCAGGTCTCCATGACTGAGGTAAGGAGAACACGCAAGTGAAGTAAGAGGAAGTGTGATACCCTAACAAGCACTGGCTTGCCCTGCCGCTGGCCAGGCCACAGGCACCAGCTCTGAAACCAAAGCTCAGCACTGAGATAAATATTTCAGAGTCCCAGAGAACCAGACACCTGACAGACCTTCCGTGACAGCTCTCCCCGCTTACCCTGTGTTGAGGGTACTCAGGTTGACCCCCAGCCTCATGGGTACCCCACACAAGCCACAGTGGAGTGAGTGGCAGGGGAAGGAGCCCCCAAAGGACAGGACCTGATAAAGAGAGTCCAGGCTCCCTCTCTCTTGTTCTGGCTCATTCCCAGTCCTCCCGACCCCATTTCCCTTTTCCCATTTCCTTATGTTGTTTTTATTTTAACTCAGACCTAAGGAGGTCATGAGAGTCTGGCATAACAGCTTTCACTTGTACTACTCCAGCACTTAAGAATCTGAGGCAGGAGGAGTATTGCAACAAGTTCAAGACTACACTGGAGTGAGTGAAACTCAAAAAAAAAAAAAAAAAAGTTCATGAACTGGGTAGCTCCTGACACACAGAACAAGGCACCAGGGGCTGGGGGCAGGACAGGTTATGGGTAGGAAGGGACTCAACCTAAGGCTTGGCCCACTGGCTTCCACCCTAATCACTGTGCTAGAGCTCCCTCCTCCCACCTTCCCCCCCGCGGCCCCCCCCCCCGTGACTTAGTCACCCATCTGTGCCCAGCTTGGTGGCGCCAGGACATACAGGAGCAGCTCCAGATGGCTGCCAGGCCCCGGGCTAGCTCCCTCCCTCCCTCTTCCCAGCGGAAGGCCATGATAGCCCCATCTCACGCGCAGCACAGACACTCTGGGGCCCCGACGCGGGGAATACGCCCTGCGACACACCGTCCTCTCAGCCACTGAGAGGGGCGCCCTGCAAGATGCTGGTCAGCTTTCAGGTGCGCACCGCACGCGGCTGCGCCACATGCCCAGGCCATACGCCCTACCCAGGCGCACAGGGAAAGTGACCGGACCCCCACTCTGGTTGGGGCTCACGATCGGAGCGGACCGGCCGGCCGCCGGTGCCAGAAAAGTTTGGGCGCCCCGGCTCAGCGCCACCCCCGTGCCGTCAGCTCCGCCGGCAGCAGCCCCCTGACTTGCCTTGTGCTGTTCGGGACCGTGAGATCCGCCTGGACCCTGGTGGCTGCGAGGACTGGGCTGGGCCGGGTTGCGCTAGGACTCGGTGCCCCGCCCTGCCTCCCTCGGCCGCCCAGTAGGGAGGAGCCGCCCGGCCCAAGGCCAGAGGGAGCCCTGGGGTCCGCCCCAGACCCCAACCACCAGCCAAGGTGGGTGATTCCCATTTACAGGAAGCAACGCCAACTCACGGACGTCGACAAAACCCTAACTTACTGGGAAAAAATAACTTCTTTCCACCAATTTCAGACCCCACCCAGGAGGAAGTGCGAGTTATGCGTCGTTGCTAGCGCCCACGCACCAGTGCTTAGGGGCTTTAGAGGGAGTCTCGTCTAATTAAAATTTGTGTTTATTGATTTTCGCCTCCTTTTGTTTTTGTTTTTTAAATTCTGGGAGAAAGGGCGATCTCAGTACTACCTCAAGAAGGCCTCCAGCGGTTTGTCACCCTGCCTCAGCCTGAGTGTTGCAATTATCCACTCTGGTTTCACTTAATGTATTATCCTGAAATACAAGAGACCAAGACAGAGACCGAGAAAGACAGAGACAGAGAGAGAGAGAGAGGAGACTGTGTGTGTGGTTTATTTGTTTTTTGTTTATTTGTTATTTGTTTTTGCTTAAATGTATTATCCTGAAATATGACAGAGAGAGAGAGAGAGAGAGAGAGAGAGAGAGAGAGAGAGAGAGAGAGAGAGAGAGAGAGAGAGAGAGCGCGAGAGAGACTCTGTGTGTGTTTTATTTGTTTTTTTCTTTGGTTTTTTTTTCTCTTTTTTTTTTTTCCTTTTGTCACTAACTGGTCTTCAGTACAACTTCAGGGCCAGGGGCATAGCTCACTAATAGGTCTCTGGCCTTCTGTGTGAGAGACCCAGCTGGGTTTAATTCCCTAGCACAGCAAAAACAAACAACAAAGAATAGTTTCAGTGATGCACAATATTGTATCACATGACTGTGCTGTGTTTCCATCAATTTCATCCTACATTATCATTTTTTGTCATAAAAAATCTGTGATAATTATCTGACACCCTGTGCTTTTAAACTAAATTCCTTTTCAAGTTTAAGACTTCAAATATGCAGACATGAGACTCAGAAGCCCCCCCCCCTTCTCTCTCTGCCTCCTGTATTTGGGTCAGGATGTCAGCTCTAAGTGACTGCTCCAGCACCGTGTCTGCCTGCCTGTCACCATGCACCCTGCCACAGTAATCATGGACTAACTCCTGAAACTGAAAGCAAGCCGCCAGTTAGATACTTGCTTTTTTTTTTTTTTTTTTTTTTTTTTTTGGTTTTTCCGGACGGGTTTCTTTGTATTGTTTTGGAGCTGTCCTAGAACTTGCTCAGAAGACTGGCCTTGAACTCACAGAGATCCACCTGTCAATGCCTCCCAAGTGCTGGGATTAAAGACATGCACCTCACTGCCAGGTTAAGGGTGTGAAGTTTAATCGCACATGGCAGTTTTGATATTGTTAGATTGGGGATTTACCTCCTGTTGTCCTACCCCTTATCACTCATTGTGTGATAACATCCCTACACTCGGAAGGCTGCATCTAAATTTGAGTGTTGGGGAGAATCAAAGTCTGAGTTTGTGGTTAGTCCAGACCTGAAGGCGAGAATCAGTCTCTAAGGAAAACAAAACAAACCAAGGGGGTTGGCAAGATGGCTCTTGGGTAAAGGCACTTGCCACCAAGCCTGACTACTTGAACCCATTTATAAGAAGGAGAGAACAAACTCTGCAAGTTGTCCTATGACAATAGGCACATTAAATCAGTTAATTAATGCCATGCGAAGAGATTTTTTTTGTATGTTTTAAGTTCAGTTGGCCAGTTGTGGTGGTATATACCTTTAATTCCAGCATTGAGGAGACAGAGGCAGATGGATCTTTGTGAATTTGAGCCAGCCTCGTCTACATAGCAAGTACTGGGCCAGCCAGAGCTACATGGCAAGAACCTATCTCAAACAAAGCAAAACAACAACAACAACAAAAACAAACAAAAAAAAACTGTTCAGTAGTATACCATCTTATATGGAGCAGCTACCTAGGTTTGTGTGGTTCCAAAATCCACTTTCTGCTAGCACAAAGGCTGCTGGGTAGGAGAGCACCTGTGTTTGAAGTGTTTATCTCATGTTAATAGCTACAGATCAACATCACCTCTAAGTGTTTTTCACAGCTGCTTGTTGACACGTTCCCTTTTAATTTTTTTGTTTGTTTGTTTGTTTGTTTGTATGTGACATGACCTCACTATATAGCGCTGGCTGTCCTGGAACTCGCTCTGTAGACCACACTGGCCTCAGACTCACAGAAACCCACCTGTCCCCGCCTCCTGAGTGCTGGGATTAAAGGTGTGTGCCACCACCTCCCGGTTCAACTTTCTTTTAAGTTGTTTTTAATGACATTTCTTTATTTTTGTGCATTTGTGCATGTGTGTGGGTGACTGCTTGCCACATGACACCTCCACTGGCTTCGAGGATTCACAGTCCTCCTGCCTCCTGGGTGCTGTGATTACAGGTATGTGCCAGTACTTCAGACTCACTTTGACCTTTTGAACGGACAGGGATCACAATGAGAAAGCACAACCAGAAATCTAGTCAGGTAGAGGCCGAGCACTCAGGAGCAGCTCCTGACACCCAGCACCACGAATTTCTACTCAGTTATTATGTCTCCCGGCACACCCCACCCTTGCCTAGAGCAACATTTCAGCAAGAGCTTGCCAGGGAGGCTAGGCTGCATAGCCAAGCTAGTACCAAGGACCTGTCTCCACCCGCTCAGCACTGGGATTAAATCAGACCTTCAGGCTTACATAGCAAGCTAACAGCACATCAGGGGGCTTGGTCGGTAAAGCGCCTCCTGCACAGGCCTGAGACCTGGGCTTAGAGCAGCAGCACCAGATAAAAGCTGGCTGTGGCGCTGCATGCCTGTAACTGCGTGGCTGCTTATGTGGGGACAGGCCAAAATAATGACACCGCTCTCCAAAAAGCGTCTGTGTGTGGAGAGTAATAGAGGAAGACACCGACATCATCCCAGAGGTAAGCGCACCCCACCCCAACACCTTGCATTCGCCACATCCAATAAAATAAAACACATTTGATGAACACACACACATGCAGTATGCACATTTGTGTGTATAGCAAAGTATAATTTAGACGGAGATTGCACAGGAGGACTGGGCTAGCTCCACTGACAGCCTCACTGCCCGTAAACCCCTTTTTTAGGAAGTCTCCTCCCCTAAAAAGAACTCAGCAGAAAAGGCGTAGCTCTGTTGCTCAGTTCTGGTTTTTCCTTTGCTACAGGGATAGGATCCTATGTGAGTTTGACAGGCAGCACCTTGAATCCCAGCACTCAGGAGACAGGGGAAGTGGATTTCTGTGAGTTCTGATCTACACAGAGAGTTCCAGACAGCCAAGGCTACACAGAGAGGCACTGCCTAATAGCTACACTAGCCTCAGCTACTTAAGGAACTAGTGGGGCTTTCACTGCGCCCTAGGGCAAAGCTGCAGGCTAAAGCGAACACTCTTGGTTAAAAGCCATTGGTGGAGAGCTAGGTCGGTGGCCCATATCTGTAAATTCTAGCAGATAAGAGGCAGAAAAGTCCAGGAGTTCAAGCCTAGACCTAGGATACCTAGCAAACTATCTCAAAACAAAACAAAACAAAAAAACCACAAAATAACAAATGATTCTGTTTTGTGTAGTCCCCCCATTGTCCCAGGCAACATTTTGTAATACTTGCCCTACACACCGTATTCATTGTTTGTCTGGAATTCCAACTCACCCTGTGTCTGTCATTTCCCTGGCAATCCTACAATCCTACTGGAACAGAAAAGTCGGGAAGGGGTGGAGAGTGAGAGATAACAGGCTGAAGTTTATTTCCTGAATGGGATGAAACCAAAAGGTTGATGGGGAGAGTCTGGCCCAGGGAACCTGGAGGGAGTGAGGAATGGGAGGGTGGGTCCACACTCTGTTGCTCCGTCCCCTCCAGTCTGGCCTCAGGCTCCAAATTCCTTCCGTAGCTTTGTGATTACCTAGGTAGCTTTACACCCTGTGAGATTATTGGTATTTATATCTACTTCCCTGGACTAGAAACAAAGTCCACTCCCCTACCCTGCCTGACCCTGCCCCTTCACCTGGAGGACCAAGAATGCCCTGCAGCTCTAGGTGGGGTGGGAAGGCTCCTCTTGTAAGAGGAGAGGAAAATGGGGTGCAGGCGACATTTGAGGGTCTTTCTCCTACAAATTAGCCTGGTGTTTTACGTCACAAAATATTTTTTTTTAAATCCTGACAGAGGCAGATCTCTGAGTTTGAGGCCAACTTGGTTTACAAAGCAAGTTCCAGGACAGCCAGGGCTACACAGAGAAACCCTGTCTGGGGCGGGGGGGGGGGGGTGTAGAAAAGAAAGTGGGGGGGGGTAGGAAAGTAGAGTAAGAGGGAGGAGAGAGAACAGGGACCCAGGGACGGGGAAGACAGGGGAGTGTTCTCCCAGGAGGGAGCATTTTGTCCCAGGCTTGGCCTGAAGGGCTGTTAGGCCTGGCTCCCCTTCACTTACAAAAGGGTCTAACCTAATACTTTCCCCACCTCTGGTCACTGGAAGCCTTGGGTAATTTCATTTATGCAACAGTCTTGTGGGGTTGTAACTCAGACCCAACTGGAAAGGGAAGTGAGTTATGGCATGAGGAAGCTGGAACTTGTATGGTATCCGAGGGGCACAGTCAAGGCCAGGGCACCCTGTCTGTCCCCTCTGACCACCGAAATCATCTGAGGTGCTTGTGAAAAGAAGCACAGATCCCCGGGAAGGTATGTCCCTCCAGACCTGGAAGCCAGCTGTAAGCTGAGGCCCCAGGGAGAGTCACTAGCAATTTCAAGTTTAAATCACTCATGGCTGTAGGACCTTGGAGATAGTCCCTAACTGCTCTGAGCCTTGGTTGCTTTGTCTGTGTAAAGGAAGGTAATAATAGAACGTGTTTGTAAGGATTAAAAAGAGTAGCTGTCAGTGCTTGGGGCAAAGTTCAAAAAGACCATTGTTACAAGTCTGGAGCTAGAAGCTCAGTGACCCAGAGATGAACTTGAACTCAGCCTGGTGTCTCAGTAATAAACAGAACCCGTTAGGATGAATTTCTCCAGGCCAT